AGCTTATTCTGTTTTTCCTTATGTGAGCCTCCAAATACCACAGCTTCTAGTCAGCCATCTTGGCCCTGCGCATCGTATGTCCGGTTTTCAATTTTATCATCAGTGAATGAGAATGCCTGCTCATCTTATTAAATCCTTGACTATAAAACCATATCTTTACTTTTATGTTTCCTCTTATGAATGGTGAGAAATGAATTTGCATTGCTTTAATTCACATTAGTTTAACTGCAAATAAGGCTGAATTATTTTTATATGATTTTAGTTTAACTTCAAATAAGGCTGAATTATTTTATATAATTTATATTTCTTGCTGCATAAGTTATCCATATTTTTTGCTGACTTTAAAGAAATGTTCTTATTTACACAATTTCTTATTGTCGCACAATTTTTAAGTGTTTTTAAATTATATTAAGATTTACTGAGGACTATGAAAAAACCTCTCAGCCTCATTCAGGTAAATATTCTGGACATTTTAATATTGATATTTAAATTTTATAGAATATAGTATGAAGAGAGCACTCCAGTGAAGAGGTCACAGGTCTAAAACTGTGTATACAATACTCATACTCCTTATCTTGGGGCTAGAAGTGTTTTGGATTTCAGATTTTTGTTTTGGATTTTTAAATATTTGCATTATACTTACCAGTTCAGCATCCTTAATCTGAAAACCTGCAATCTAAAATGTTTCCCAAAAAAATCTTTTAAGAGCCAACGTGATGCTCAAACAAAATGCACATTGGAGCATTTCAGATTTCAGATTTTTGGATTAGTGATACTCAACTAGTATAACTAATGGATACTTTATTATAAGGATAATAATGCACTAACAGCATTATATAGTAGTTAAGACAGCAAACTGCATTAATTCCATGTACTATTGCCATCATAGCCAACAATAAAGTGTTCATCCTATTAAGCGAGATAGAACTGAATGTGTTTAAACCAAATCAAAGATAATACTGCAAACTATTTGTTCTACAAACTACACGTGTCCCTTGAATATCTTGTGGGCAGACAATGACTAAATCTAAGTTGTATAATCAGTCCTTTACAACAATATTTACAAATCCAGGAAATCATAAAAATAAAATCAAACTTTACTAAGAGTTTTAAAATTTGCCCCATTTACTTAGGTAGACATTTTATCAGATATACACTTTCATACATCACCAACAGAGAAATTATACTATAAGAAATATGGTCTAGAAGTAAATGTAATGAGCAAGTCATAAAAGTAAGCATAAATGCATACGCAGATCTATATAATTTAATGATAAGTTATTTATGGAGGGATAAAGAGTAAACAATAAATGTCTTAGCCTGGATTAAGCATGTTTTTCACAAGAAAATTTTACTTTACACTAGATTAATGTGCCCAAAATTATTAATAATTAATGGAAAAAATTTACATGTTAGTTCCACTACTAAAACTTTGGTTTTATATGGCATTTCAGCAAAATTCTCATTAACAAAAGCAAGTCTCCAAGCTAGGGCAGTAAAGTATGGATTTTCATAATCTAATTCATTTGAAGGATATTCCAGAAATAAAAACTTTTCAAAGTTTTTCAGAGGTCCTGGAAGTTGACCAAGGGAGCATTTTCATTCCAGGCCTGAATTAAATTTCCTATCATCTCATTACTATGAGAAAAGCTATTTGGGAAAGGGATTTTCTCATCTAGATTTTCACTAAGATATACAAGGCAAAGGAAAACACATTACCTTGAACCTACTTCAATCTGTGCAAGGTCATTGTCAACACATCTGGTTCTCCAATGTGGTTTACACATCCAGAAAAAATGTGGTGCCTTGTTGCTTCTTCTTCTGTTTTTAAATAAAAAGCAATTCATTTCAACTGACTTTGCAAAAGCTACATTTCTGCAATAAAAGGAATACTTAATGTAAGAAATAGCTAAAAATATTTTTCTTTGTCTACCCTTATCTCCTTGGCAGGTCACTATCACAGCAACACTGATACTTAATTAATCAGGGCAAGAATACCCCTTATAATCAATATGAGTTTCTGACATTGATTTTGAAGACTATGTCTGAAATGTTTGAAGGGGATTTTGAAACAATAATAAAATGTGCTGCAGCAAGTATCTGCTTTCTATATCCTCATTTATCTGACTTCTTATGGCTTCTTTAGCCTTGTTTATCATTACTCCTTCAGGATTTCACTTTCTTTTTAACTTAATAAAAAGTACTTTTCAACTTAGTCCAGTAAAATGAGTGAAGTAATTATATTCTTCATATACATATGAAGTAATTATATACATCAATGACATATATATGTCATTGATGATTCTTATTAATAACACATAGAAGTGATTCATTCTATAAAATAGATGTCCAAATGTTCATTATATATGTGGTTTATGTTACAGTTTAAATAGCAATCTAAAGAGGCTTTTAGACCTAAACTTATTATATGAGGGAATTACATCTTTAGTTAGACAATTGTAGAAAATAACACACACTTTTAATATACATAGAAATCTTGAAATACTGAAGAATATCTCCAGATATTGATTAGAAAATGCCTTCTACTATGCATCATTAAAGAAAGGTAAATTTCATATATGATTGTATTAAGTGGACTTTATTGAGGTACCACATATTTCTGGAAGGAAAATATGTAGAGTAGTTGTGAACTGGGTAGTTACTTATCAACTAGTCCTGTGTATAAAATTACACACATAATATGGATAGCAGTGTGAAACTAAACTGTTTTTACATGGCCTATTAGATGGTATTAGAAAGATAATGTTTTAGAATAAGTTTGTAGAAAGCTTGATTCCAAACAATTTTCTCAACATAAAGCTTTTTTTCCTTATCCATTCCTTTATTTTGTTTTTTTGTTTTCTATTGTGCTGTGAAACTGTCTTTGGATATGGCTAATAACCCTGTTAAATAACCCTCTCATGAAATAATTTTAGTTTTATCAGAGAAATGGTCTAAACCAACATAGAAAATAATTGGAATATTACTTCATTTATAAAAATCTAATATTAATGTTTAAAGCTAAACTAAAATGAATTACAAAAATAATTTTCTCCAAAGTAGAGAATTTTAGTAGTTAACCTTAATTTATTGAAAGACAAATTTAGTTCTCTGTAGACACAAAATTAACTAAAACAATTTTCCCAGCAGAATTTTAAAAAAATAGATGTCTCTATCTTCACTGAATATTCATTCCTATATTTCAGTCTGGTCCTTTGGTGACTCAACTAACAACTTGATATTGTTCACATTAGGAAGTACATGCATTATTTTATACCACTAATGTGGCACTTACTTGGAAATGTAGGAATAGCTAATTATTTAATTAGCATTCAGTAGATGGGCAGTCTAACTCTCAAGAAGAGTTAATACTAAAAACTCTTAAGTGTGTGGTTTACTTATGAGACCTGTTTACTCTCCAAGTGGATCAGACCATCACAAAATGGAAGAGCACATTGTTGACCTGAAATATTATGAACACATTTTAAGACAATAAACACTTTAGTAGTCTAATTAGTGTTAATATATGCAGCACTTTATTAGTCAGCTAAATGTCATTTCGCTTGCAAATCAATTATTCAAGTGCTATTTAATAATATGGTCATTTTATGTTGTCTATAATTCACTTGGCACTAAGTAATCACCAAACTCAGTGTTTATAAAATAGCATATCACAAACGTTACCCAAATTCCCTCAGCATATGAGCCTCTCCTTAAATTTAACAGAAACTTCATTAAATGATGGGAAAAAATCTCTTGAAATACCTATTGGGTCATTTAAAAACTTTAATTTGAAAGCAGGAAAGACACCAAACACATGGGACGCAAAAGGCCATGACCACCGCCCCCCACTTTGTTTTCTTTTTTGAGATGGAGTTTTGCTCTTGTCGCCCAGGCTGAAGTGCAATGGTGCGATCTCAGCTTACTGCAACCCCCGTCTCCCAGGTTCAAGTGATTCTACGGCCTCAAACTCCCAGGTAGCTGGGATTATAGGCACCCGCCACCACGCCCAGCTAATTTTTGCATTTTTAGTAGAGATGGGATTTCGCCATCTTGGCCAGGTTTGTCTTGAACTCCTGACCTCAGGTGATCCACCCGACCTCGGCTTCCCAAAGTTCTGAGATTACAGGCATGAATCACCTCACCCAACTCATGATACTTTTTTTTTAATCCTCTTAAAGAATAATCAAAATATGCCCTCCCCATTTCCCTTCAGAGAAAACTATGGAGGAAATCTAATCGAGTGGGTTTGTTTGCAAAGTCAGTATCACATGCAGCATGACTTCCTGGGGTTTAATGACTTAATCAAATTGGATATGCAATCTTAATTTCTAAATAGCATTCAATGCCTTTAAGAATCAGCACAAAATTTAGATATAAGAATTTTTCCCTAGAGCTGCTGCTATCTCTTGACTGTCATGTGGCTTCCAGTCCATGAAGCAAATGATCAGAAAACCCTAGATTCTGAAACCAACTAATCAAACAAACTAAACTCACATAAAAAAATTAAAGGAGTGATAATTATGCCATACTCTCTGTTGTCAGGGAATCAGTACAAAAAAATTAGTGGCTGGTTTGATGGTTTGTATATGCCATTTTGTTTTTCCTTGTGGAAATGAATTTTAACTTCATTCTCTTTTGGATCATTGGCATTCTTAGAAGCAATGGAATTCAAGACACAATTCTTTCTCAATTACTAGTAAATTCCAGTTTATTACTGTTTTGCCAAAAAACATCCATGTAATTGATTGATGATGAGATCAGTTATTTGACAATAAACAAACTGTGAAAGAGAACAGTACCAAATACTACATGTTTAATACATTTGAAATTAGTTACAATTGCCTTTGGTTTGGACTCCAATGGAAGGGGCTGCAGGATGGCAAAATGAGAGGTTTATTTAGCGTCTGGGGGAAGCTTATAAAGAGCTTAAGTCCTCATTCCTTCTAACATCTTAACAGCTGTGCAGTTTCTTACAAAATATGTTTTATCGTTTCAAGAAATGCTGTTAACCTCGCAGTTTTAAAACTGAATGAACAAGGCCTCTTGGACAAATTGAAAAACAAATGGTGGTACGACAAAGGAGAATGTGGCAGCGGGGGAGGTGACTCCAAGGTTAGCCTCAATGTCACCAAAAGCGGGTAAACAGTATGTAAAGTAATAGGTGCATCTGCTGGGAGACTTATGGTTTGGACCTAATAATACCCAGTCGAACTGCTAGTCAAGTTCCTTCACAAACTTACGTATGCAATTACTGTCAATGCAAAAATATTTGCACCATTACCTATTAAGTGACCCACTAACAAACCTAATGAAAATAGTCACTGAAAATCTCTGCCTTTGAAGAGGTTGTGGATCAGACATTATAGTCCTATGAATCTCAATTTTGGAAAGTAAGAAGAGATGCAAGTTTCTGAAACAGCAATTTAGGGAAGAGAGGAGAGAGCAGAGAGGGTAAGTCTGTCTCGTTTTCTTCACTAGAACTTCTACCAAATGTTGTTCATTATCAGCAATCACCTGACTCCTGACTCCACCTAGACCTGTCTAGGTTGCCTACTAAAAAGTTTTCTCCATCTAAAATTCTCAGGTTCTGTTCAAGTTAAATAACAAATCAAAGACTGTGATATGAACTACACATTTTTTGCCTTCCATAAATGGATCAAAATGCAAAATGATCAGGAAACAAAAACAAAATCAGCTTAGTTTTGTCTTCACTTCATATCTTACCTCCAGCTTCATAAAATAATAGCTTCTTTAAATTTCTAAGCAATATAGAATTTCTAAGTAAATTTCTAAGCAAAAGTGGGCAATTAACAGAATATACTTGAGTCCCAGAACACTTTTTCCCTATATATCAGTATTTTTAGACTTAAAAAAAAAATTCATGAATGGGAAAATTCTCACCCGATCTAAAAAGCCTTTCAAATTGAGCTCACTTACACATTCCCATCTCATAACTAGTTCTATTGCAGCAGAAGGAAGGACAAACTTTTGTTTCCATTGTAGGCGCCATCTTAAGGAGTACTAACTTATTTTATATTTTGGAGCTCCAACTTTCTCAAATTTTCTGATAGTTTTCATAAACATAGAAATATATATACATAGAGAAAATTATTAAATTTTATACTAATAACCTAGCCTTCATTCATGCAGATTAGTAATACCAGAAAATATCACAAAATAACACCAGAGAAAATCAAAACAAAGATATTCTATTCCATTAGAAAAAATCTTCGTTTTCAAATTATTATCACAAATATAAGAGAAGTAAAACACTGCTTTACCAATAAAATTTTCTACAAATATAAATAATGAAGTCCCATTTTAGTGTACATTAAAGATGTTTTCCAGAGAAAAATAAGCAAACATAATAGAAACATATATATGTTAGAAAAATCCATCTAACAAAAGTCATTTTAAGTTATTGAAATGGACTGGACAACTCATTCAGATTTAATTAGCTTGTATCCAACTCATTTTTTGGTACATAATGGACAGTCAGTAAATATTTGTTGTCCAAAAGAATAAATGTATATTTAACCTTGTAGTTTCCAAAACCAAATTGTTTGTTCTTATAGTTATGCAGTGACATTACTTTCACAAAACATGAACTACAAAATGTTTTAGAATGAATGTTATTTCAAATTTTAACAAGTAGGTTTCCAACACGTCATAAAAAATTAACGTAAAATGTTCTCCCAAAATGAAATACATTATGTTTTATTTTTCCTCAGGAAATGTGTTTTTATACTTAAAAAAAAAATCCACATTGGTTGTATATTGGTCTAAGGTTTATCATCAAGAGAATAGATTGTTGCACTCTAAATATTAATAATACCCTACTCTGAATTTGTTATAAAAGATGATATTTTAAATGGCCTGACCTAACTTAAATCAAAGTAAATTAACTGGAGGTAGTTGTTGGTTTTTCATTTTCATTTTGTACCTTCTTTGGGTGACTGATTTTCTTTGTAAACTTAACTTGCCCCTCCCATTTGGCCTGATCTTCATCAAAAAAGGTAAAATAAGGAGAAAAAGTCCTGCCATGAGAAATGCAACCGGTTCTAAAGCCTTTGTAAAACTAGCGCAGAAAAGATCAATGCTGCCAATTCAGTGCAGAAGGAGAAACAGAGAGAGAACTCGGCACACACATGCTGAAATACTGGCTTAGCTGGCCTTCAATACAGAATCTTGGTAGGAGAAAACTAAACTGTCTTAACAGTGACTCATCCAACAAAGGAGGGAAATATGGAAACCTGTACCACACATGGAAAGGTTTCTATGAGAGAGCTGATGCACTTGTCATTCACAAGAACATAACCTCTCCAGCCCTCCATTCAGCAGCAAATTATTAAGCTTCTGTTTCAACAGGACCATGTGCCAGTACCTGTGTAGAAAAGGAAAATTACCACTGTCCTTTCCCTCAAGGAACTCATGATTTAATGTAACCAGCAACTGGATTATTTGGAGTGGCTGAGGCAGTTTCCCTGCCACACTCCAGGCCATGCTGTAATTAGCATTCCCACTCACCTGACAGCCATTCCCAGCACTATGAAGCTCTGACCATAGCAGTCCTCAGCCGAGAGGCTTCTTGAAAAGTAAAAATTTAAGAAAAGATATGAAGAACAGCATCCTGCATCTTACACAAAATAAAGCAGAAATGCATGATTTACAAGGTACAAATTCCTTCATTTGAAAACTTGATCCTTGGATAGTGTCCATATAAGTTAATCGTATTGTGATACGGTACTTTTTTATGGTCCTAAGAAATTCATACTCACTTTTGGGAATAAAATAACAAAAATTACTACTTGGCAATGAATGAGCCAATTTAAAAATATTGATTGCAATGTCTAAAATGTATTCTTCACTTTGATTAACCTAGTATGGCTTAGTCTTAGCACAAACCTTACAAAGAATTTGTATGCCAATTTTTATGCCAGTTATTCAATCCCGATTCTAGTTAGAAATTTTGGCAACAGCTGCAACCATCGGTCACCCATTATTACAGCTACAAAATTATTTTTTCTGTTAGCTGTATACTTTATTCTCTTTCTACATGTGTAAAATATGCACACTTATAGATGTGGATATTCATATAAAAATTATTTTGTAAGTGTAATCATACCAAATAATATTTCCTCTAGATGTTATATTTGGTCACACATTTTCTGATGTTTAATTTGGCACTTTGAAGAATACAGCCCATGACTTTAATAGATGCTATACTTAAAAATAACCCGGTTTCCTCTATCACTGCCATGACAACCAATGCAATAATGAAGGAATTTGTACAGAAAATAAGCATTCATCAGCAGGAAAAAATGGAAAGTAAAAAAAGTTGTGGTAAACAAAAAACACTAAAGGAATCTAGCCCTTGGAGAAGGACTTCCCAATAATGAATTCCTTGTTCTGATATTCCACCAGTTGAACATTAATCATTGTTAATACTAAATATCTTATATTCAAAATGTTAATCTAATCTTACTCTCTAAAACCAAGCTACTGGTGTGAAATAGCAGAAAGGATAAAGAGGCCAGAGGAAAGAGAAGGACATAGGAGAAAAGACTACCTTAAGAGGGGAGAAAGAAGCCTAAGGCAGTCTTCATCTAATTCACAATTTTGCCTTCAGTTGTCCCTTCTTGAAGAAACTTGTTCGAGACCAGCCTGGCCAAGATGGTGAAACCCCGTCTCTACTAAAGATAAAAAATTAGCCAAGTGTGATGACAGGCACCTGTAATTCCAGCTACTTGGGAGGCTGAGGCAGGCAGGAGAATCACTTGAACCCGGGATGCAGAGATTGCAGTGAGCTGAGATTGTGACACTGCACTCCAGCCTGGGTGACAGAATGAGACTCTGTCTAAAAAAAAAAAAAAGAAAAAGAAGCTTGAAGGAAGCTCTCTAACTATCCTCCAGTTGTCAGCACTAAGCCCTCCTCTTTCCAGCCACCCCATTCAAGAACTGCAATATAGGCTTGTATAGTTTAGCTGCACACGTTACAAAGGTTTTGAGGAGCTTGCCTGGGGACCTAAAAACAGAGTAGCAGTTCAAGAAAAAACTGCTCTGAATTAAAAAAAAATCTTGCTCTGTCATTTTTAAAATCGAGCCTCTGTGTAGAGTACCTACACTGAGTCAGATACTCTGGAAAATACTGTTTACAAAGATAAATGAGCTGTGGCTTCTGCTCTCAAAGGATTTGCAGTGCACTAGTAAACCCACAGGTGTGGTTATTTGTAGCAATCACTTCACAAATGGAGGTGAGTGGTCAGGAGCAGACAGTAGTGGTTGGTATAGATAGAAAAACCTAGATTGACTGGGTTTAAAATAACCAAGCACCCCAATTAACCATAATCCTCACTCAGCCCACCTCAAATTCAGCTTTTAGTAGAAATTTTGCTCATGCCAAATTTTAATCCAAAAAAAAAATATTATGTCAGATTATATTATTTAATCAAAAAACATATAATAGTCTAGGATCATGGCAAATGCATATTACTTCTTCAGTGGAACAATGAACCTAAGCCACAGCAATATCTCATAACATTGAAACAAAATTTAAATTATATCCAGAAACCATATAAACAAAAATAAAAATTTATATTTTAGAATTTCATATAAAATTTATATTTTAGAATATTTTTTCAAAACTAACTGTACAAAAAAGAATTTTAGTTTAACCAGAAAGCCCAATTAATTAGAAATATCATTTTGTGAGTCTTCTGTTATTAATATTTTTCATTGCAAAAGCGATGAAGTCATACTGTCAGGAATCCTGATTAGGCTGCTGCCTCGCTGTGTGACTTGATGAATTAAGCTGCCCATGCTTTGGTTTCCTCATGTGTAAAATGTGAATAATATTAGTGAACATGTAAAAAGCTTTTAATAGTGACTGATACATAGTAAATGCTCAGTAAATGTTAGCAGTCATGATCACCATAATTCTTAATGCATTTCCTAGTTGTGTAGATAGGTTTATGGAATGAATGTTCAATAAATGCATGTCGTGTAATTCCAGATGCACCCAGCATTTCTTAGAAGAACTGAGGCACATTAAGGGATACAGGCAGGTAAAATGTCTACAGGAATATGACAAGTCTGTCTCAGAACTAAATGAAAAACCAATCAGACACCAAAACAGTAATAACAAAAGGTCCTAGGAGTTTCTGCTTCCCCTTCATCATCTTAGCCTTCATATTATAATATGGGAGTGAAAAATGAAAGAATTATTAAATTCCTTGGAATACTGACACCAGGTAATAACTAAACTCTTCCTCCCTGAAACTCCTAATACAATATTTAGTGTTGAAGGAATCAAAGATGGTAGAGGAGACAAATAGAGACTCATAAAAAGACTCCTCTTAAAATAAGAGGAGGTTGTCTCTTCAGAAAAATCTTGGTTACCTCTAACCTGTCTTTGTTTGTTGGTAAAAATTTGTGGAATATATTATAGTCACTTCATTTTGTACTTAAAGTACATTAATATAGTTTAAGACTCAACATAAATGAAAAATAAATAGATGATAGATTCAAGATAGATGAAAATTGCCTCTGGTTATATTATTTATGTTAAAGACTGCAATTAAGAAGAAAAATATTATCATGGGCTTATATCTTAAAATAATGATTTACATATTTGTCTCATGATGACGTTCCTCTGCATAAGATGATCTTTTATAACACTGAAATCACCCGCTTTTTTCAGTTAGGTGGTGAAAAGTGGTCAAGAAATCAATTTGATAATAGATACTGCAGACATGTTTTTATAGCGTAAAATCGAATACCATGAGCTGAATCATAATGCATGCAATGAATGAAATCAGTCCTATCTAGTTTCTATTTCAGCCTGTCAACCTGCAGCCACTTCCTTAATTTTGAAAGAGAACAAAAAGAAGCTTCTAGATTGTGAATGACTGCCACATTTATGTGGAAAATTTCAAATGTTCCAGAAACCCAACCAAAGCCAATAGTTTTGAATTCACAGTAATTGCATACATTTTATTTAAAAATCCTCTCTAGCAGTATGTGCCTGTTACCTAAAGCGATGGAGCAGGCCCCAGTTTTATGTCTGATTCTAAACCTGGGCCTACAGTACAAGACATAGCACCTACTGTGGCCTCTGCTCTGTCACTTTGCCATGCGATTCTAATGTAGTTTTACTTGAATAACATAAAATAACATATATAATGTTATTTATGTTATTTTCCACGTGAAGAACTCCTGTAAACCTTGCCGTTTTGAAACTCAGTGAGGCAGGCGTCTTAGACAAGCTGAAAAACAAATGGTGGTACGATAAAGGTGAATGTGGACCCAAGGACTCTGGAAGCAAGGTCAGTCGCTGCAGTTCGGGGCCTCCTCTTGTGTTCACAAAGCAGTAAATGGGAGCAATTGTCAAAAGTATATGGAAACCATAACAACTGAACATGTCTCTAACATTCAGCCACTGCCTAAATTAAAAGCTAATGTAATAAATTTCAAACATAGGTATGGCCTTTTCAGGAAACTGCAAACTGCTCCCCAATATTAAGACTTTTAAATAAACTTAAAACTGCAAAAATTTATAAAATAATAAAATTCCTCTTATGTTATTCTCAAATTTATGTACCACTAATAAAAGTAATGTTTTTTGGTGTAGTTTTCTTGTTTGTATTGGAGGCAAAGACTTCAAGAAATCATGTTATTTCAAGAACTGATGTGTTCTCAAAACAGGAAATCAGTGGTATACCAGAAAAAGAAAAATTTAAATATTAATTAAATGCTTATTCAGAAGTTCAGTCTTTGGTCACCATAGTGCCAAGCGTTCCACTTTAGTTTGAAGAAGCCCTATATTTCTGTGCTGGTAAACAGAGTAAACCTTTCAATTCGATTCCCCCAATTGAAATTGTTTTAATTAATCAGTGTTTATGAATAGTATTCTCAAGTTCTAAGATCTCTTAATAATAAATTCTTTTTAAAACATTGCAGGAAAAAAAATTTAAAATGCAGGAACCTCTGTGCCTAATTCTGTTGAGCACAAATAAAAGTAGTGTAAATAAATTATGTTTTATTTTTGTAAAAAAAATTACAAGTTTATCCATGAATCTAAATACCTACACAAGTTGATACAATATAGTAACAGTGCCTAAAAGCCAGAGTTGAAGATTCTTGGAATCCTCTTTTATTTCTTTCTGCATCTTCTCTAAGAAAGAAAACAAATTATTGGATATTCTAAGATGTTAAACATGTGACTTGTTTAAATAGGAGAGCCTCAATTAATTTACAAAGGAGACAAACTAATGTTAATGAACCCCTTTCAGGCCTTATCACTATATTTTAATCATCTGTCTGCCTTTTAACCAGAGTGGAATGAGACAAGCTTGGCCAGATAATGAAACCATTACCTCAAATCCTGATGTAAAGTCAGACAAGCGCAAAGACTTAATGAGTAATTATTTTAAAAGTGAAGTTACCCTAAAATGTTTGGTCCAGTCAGTTGATGTCGTGACTAAGATGACAGTATATATAATGCATCTTTTGAATTAAATACTCTTCTATAAAACTCTTTAAGGATCTGAATCACATTTTGCACAAAAGGTACTGCTGAGAAGATAATAGCTACAGGGCGTCCTTCAGGTAGTTTACTAAAATACTTGCAATAATACTATGTAATAAACATATTTACAATTTATTAAACAATTTTAAATTCTTGTTATAATTTTAATATCTTCCAATCGTAAGAGTAGGATTTAGAGATTATTCTGAATTTATTATGAGATTATATGTATACTGAAGCTCTAAAGAACAGTATCTCTAAAATATTAATGGTTAAGCATTTTTTAAGTGAGAATGGAATTGTATTTTTAATCAATAAAATATTATAAATTTGTCCATACATAAATAACTTATTTCTCAACTGACCATAATAATTTATGTATTTTTAAAGTTATAAAATTGCTTGTTATGCATATATATTTATAAACAGTACATAATATGCAAAAGTAACATTTTCCATGATATTTCCCTTGTAGATATAACTAAAAGAACATATAATGTGTACCTTAACACATTATTTGCAAATGTTTGGTAAATTAATGATGAACAAAACGTGAAACTATCAGCTCAATGACTCTTTATTTGCTCAACTAGGAAATGTGGAGTTGGATTTATTCAAGAGAAATCTCAGACATTAAAAGTATATTCTAATAGGATCAAAGCCAAAAGAAGTCCCCTTTTTCACATAATTGGATTTTAAACCTGTCATTTTCAAATTTAACAATAATATGTCCACTTCTGCAACCCTATGTAAATATATAAATGCTTATATATGGCTGTACAATGGTTTTCATTCCATATTTAGTAATGATAAAATGTTACTGATTTCATTGAATGTAATTAGATACAAATTGTTGATAATTATTATAATTTTAATTCTCCCAAGAGCTATAAGCCTTATGTTTAAATCCATAATCCTGTATCAGTGACTTACACTTGTCAATAATTTAAGGTTAAATTAAGCATTTACTTTCATTGGCTTTTTGGATTTCATGTGTTCTTTTATCTTTTGGATTTGACATTTCCACAGTTAACTGAAGTGTCTTTATCCCCTCTAGGACAAGACGAGTGCCTTGAGCCTGAGCAACGTAGCAGGAGTCTTCTACATTCTGGTTGGCGGCTTGGGCTTGGCAATGCTGGTGGCTTTGATAGAGTTCTGTTACAAGTCCAGGGCAGAAGCGAAGAGAATGAAGGTGGCAAAGAGTGCACAGACTTTTAACCCAACTTCCTCGCAGAATACCCAGAATTTAGCAACCTATAGAGAAGGTTACAACGTATATGGAACCGAAAGTATTAAAATTTAGGGGTAGGACTTAGGGCCAACTACAGTGAGTGGGGAATGCATCCTGTGAACGCAGTGTTGTGACCTGTCTGTCCAGTGGTGATATTGCTTGCTTCTAATAGAGCTTTATATTTTTGAAAACTTCAGTGCAAATTGGTTTGGTTTTCTTTGGCTGCAGATGTACTGTTTGAAACTTTATGTCGCCAATAGATATCTGCATTGCAAGGGTCAGAAAGACAAAAACAAATCAGAATTACTCTGTGAAATGATTTAAACAGTATATTTTACCTGAAATTTGGGGAAAATTGGAAATTAGATCTGGGCTTCCTTGCACATAGACTTTTGTTACAGTTCAGTTTTAGGGTAGGTGCTAACAAAATAAGCACGAAATTCGTTCCAAGTAATCAAAACCCAGACAGTTGCCTATTTTTGACAAGGTCTCATTGCTTTCTGAGGACCAATACATGTAAAAACTTCAAAGCACGGAGTATGTACTCAATGAATTTTGGCTCCTCTTCTAATTTGTTTTATATTAGCCATCATCCTACATTTTTAAAACATGAAATCCCACTTTTTATTCATCTGATGGTAGTCCTTGAGCCAGACCTTTAAGGAAGAATGATAATCAGAATTTTGACTACAATTCACATTTATTAGATGAAACTCAACTTTTATACTGAAAGCATCACTAAGGTAAATAGACATTTTAGGCATAACAGCAGTTTCTCCATTAGAGATATCAGCAATATTTGTGTCCTGTAGGAGAGATTCAGAAAAAGATAAAAGTTGCAGTGAGCTATTATAAACTTTTTTTTTCATTTCAAGTGCTTTTAAGCAAGCCAGGTCAGCCCCACTTACTCACATCCTCTCATCATGGCACAATAAAAAATTATAAGCATTCAGTAAAATATAGGAGATGGAGATTTTTTTAAAAATCTAAACGTCTACTTCTTCTTTCCTCTAATAATAGGAAGTAGTTTTAAAATAGGATCTGAAAGGATTTGTTATTGCTCTTGCTAAAATCAGGACTCTAAAACCCATTTTCTAAAATTGTCTGTAACAGCTAACTGAATAGGCTGCTCAGTTTGATTACAATGATAAATGAGTCTTTGAACTTCCAAGAGATATTTTGGTACTTGATGTACCCTAGAGTTAAAAACCCGATATACTTTCAGTAAGATGTACATCTGAGTTTATACCAGGTAAACATACTTTTGTGATTTTGATTTGATATTTATTTATATGAAAGCTTTTGAAATACTGTATCTTAAAGCAAAGAGCCAATGCCATCTCTTTTAATCAAGATCTAATTGCTTTCATCCGTAATGTAGAAATCAGCGACTGAGAACTAAAGCACATAGTTAATTCCAAAATGGCTCTTTCCTAATTTTATGAAAATGAATTAAGAAATAAATCCTCAATTCACTAGGTCCAAACATTTTTAGTATGTCTTATAATAGCAAAACCTACAAAGTGGGGTAATATCAAGGTGTCTTAGGCATTAGATCATCTTAATGTTTACAGAATTGAGGAGAGACTTTTTTCAAATTGAGAAAAACAATAATTGATTAGTTTTCAGAGCAAATTATTTGGACTGAATTCTGAGATGAATTTTATAAGATGTCCGTACTAGATTTTGTTACCAGTTCATTAAAACTGACTTTTCTTTGGCATAACAAAGGCGCTGCAGCCATCATCAGCAAGGACAAGGGTGGGGAAGCAAACCAAAGAAAAAAAGAGTATTACAAATTTTTAGAAAGAAATACTCATGTATACTAGTTCATTTCAAAGTTAAGGAAAGTTATTAAAAAGATGTAAATTCTCATGTTTTCTATATATAATGTTGTATATATTCATAAAATGTGGGAATTTACATCTCTTACATATATTTATATATATTTAATATATATAATATATATATACAATTTAAATGTAAGATTGTATTTGGAGTCGCAACTTGGCATTGAAGTTCATCACATGAATTGCCTTTAGAGGTAGATTTGAACATTTAAGACAATAAATTTCAAATAAAAAGAAAGCATTCATCTGACATTTTAAAAGACAGTGGCATTTAGGATAAATGAAATAATCTGTGCCTGTCAAAACTTATAAGTAAGCAGTTTTTACTGTACTCTCAAAGGAAAACTTTCATAAACTCTATGACCATAATTATGCAAATGATTGGTAAATCAGAAATAATATTGTCTCAGAATCCCAAAAAACAAAACCTGACATCTTCAGTCCATGGTAGAGTCTGCTAAAAAGTGATCATTTCTCAAGGAAACATATATGATTAAGATAACAACCATTAGCCACGACAATCCAACCAAACCTAGACCATATGTAAAATTGATAGAAAATTTTCCAGTTTGAGGAGCCTCGAAAGGTTCATATCAAGATTAATAGAAATGGCATTTTATGGAAGATGCAGATGACATAAGTATAGGAAATAAAAATGCAAAAACAGACGTAAAGAAAAATAAGTCAAAGTTTTATTAAGTAATATATTTCCTTGCATTAATCTATAAAAGAGGAGAGCGTATTGAGATTATACGGAATTTTTCGACCTTTGGAAGTTTTCCTTTCCTCATAAATAAGATCAAGAAAAGAAAGAAAACAAAAACAGATTTTATGGCAAAAGCCTTCTGAAAACACTTTTTAAAAATTATCATGCTTTTATTAATCGTATTTTAGTATTTCTTCTTGAAGAAAAATTAAAGCTAAACTAGTGGATTTTTAAAAATAATTGTCTATTTTACTTAACATTAAATGTTGAAAGGAAATGTAAAGAAACATATTCAGATTTTGATCTTGGTTTTGTTTAAATTTAGTGATGAGTAGATATCTATGAGTTCTCTGGAATTACCTTTCCTAAATCTCTTGTTAAACAAGAGATGAGTGGTTTGGGGACTCTGAGTGGTTTGGGAACTTGAAAGATTTAAGATTGGCTAATACAATGGTTTGGATTAGACTCATGGATATTCATTTTCCTTGTTTTCCTAAGCATGTGGCTTTACCTAACTAATATAAACTTCCTAAATCTGCTCTCAAATTGTTTTCTTTAGAAGATTGTGGAAAATGCCAACGCCGTAACTAGAATGCTCCTTATAGTCAGGTACTCACTAAAGGGTTCTGACCCCCCAAATGTCCACCTAAAACACAAAACTGAAACAATTACACTAGAAAGTTATTTAGCATCTTGATACCAAGTCTTGGCTTATGTTTCTTAAAAACATTTTGTTGCTAGATTTTCTTGATATATATAGTACTGTTTTGCTAATGCTTCTTTTTATACACATACCCTAATATTGAGTAGAAAAATATTCTTCTTTAATAACACAACCTTCCCAAGAGTCTCACTTCAAGAAACAAGACTATTGCAGCCACGTACACTTTTTAGTTCCCTAGTGAGATTCTTCCATATGAGTGAGGTTCTTGATTAAGGGATCCTTTCAGATGCTTGAATTGAATTGCTTCATTTCTAACTTCCTCACTGGTGCAGTGAAATTCAATTCTATTCAATTTAAAATTGAACAGTGGGCAATGTATTCACTTACATATTTTTAAGGTACAATTTACATACGATAAAATTTACCCTTTTTAGTGTACAATTCTGCAGTTTGATAAATTATGAATAATTTTAGAATATTATCCTATCAGTTTCATTTACAAGGAAAAGAATCTTACCATATATGGTCATTCATCCACTCCACAAATATTTACTGAATGCCTATTTGTGCCAAATAAAGATCAGAAGAACTTTGATTTCAAGGAACTAATAGAAAATAATCAGATAGAAGTGTTGTTTTTCTCTAAAATCCTTGTTATATTTCCATGATTTCTAAATATAAAAGCTATTCATATTTCTGGAAAGACCATATCCTCAGTTCTGATTATGATGATAAGTATTTATTTTTGAGACTGTTTACTGAAACAGAACTATGAGTTTGACCTTGATTTTGTCATCTATATGTCATTACTAGCAATTTGACTTCAACTTTCTTAAGTTTTCAGAGTAACTGATCTGTAAACATTTTTACTCCACCAGTTTTTAAACTAGTTACTAATTTCATGACTTCATATATAATTATTCTAATATTTAAGCTCCAGGACAGAATAAACACAGGGATGGAATTTCCTAAAGATCTGGATAAACTTGAATTCACAACAGGGAATTAGATACATGATGAGTTGTGAGTTATGACCTAAATCATAACAAACTTAGGGAATAGCTCCTTTACCCTATTTTCCTCTTAAGTTAGAATGCTAGCTACTGGAAAGAATTTAGACAATGAATGAACAGTTGTGAGACTAACATAATAACACTGCCTGTTTCTCCTTTGTATAATGTTATCTGCTATCTAATGGGATAACAAACAGGAATTTACTGATGATTTCAGATCCCTGACTCTATAACCTCAATATGGAAGTTTCCCCAGTGATGATCATTCAATAGGCTTTGAAACGTATCCCTTTTCAGTGCACCCCTTTTAAATACAGTTCTTAAAATATGAGGCTTAGTGTCCACAATAGGCATAGAGTGAACTATATGTCACTAATTGTGCTGTACTGGGTCATGTCTATAACTGGTGTGAATGAATGAAAGTGTTTGTGGATAGGTCTGTGTTATAAAACAGGAAGATCTGTCAGAAATAGTCCATATGTATAGTTTGTTTAGGTACTTTATCAGTTCTGAGAGTCTAATCCTTGCACTGTAAAGACAGTTTATAACAAGGAAGTACTATTTAAAGAATGTTGTCAAACATAAAAAAGCTTTAAAGCTCATCCAGAAGTACTAAGATATACAGTGCAGCAAGTTAAAAGATGTTTCCTGCCCAGATTTCCTGAACAGTAGTTAAATATTATAATATTAGGATTAGTTTTTTCACAGGTAGAACAACAAAGTCTAGACAGATTCATTCTTCGGTGTAGTTAAGCTTTCCTTTCCCCGGATAAACAGTTTTCATATAACCAAAAGAATATGAAAAAAAAATGCAGATGTCTACTTATTGATATTTCAGTGTGTGTTGTGTAACATTTTGTTGAAGAAACAGAAATATGGTAACACTCGGCATTCTTTCTGCTTTCTTTCCATGCAACCCAGCTGACCTTTTCTGAAGCCATAAGAAACAAAGCCAGATTATCCATCACTGGGAGTGTGGGTGAGAATGGCCGCGTCTTGACGCCTGACTGCCCAAAGGCTGTACACACTGGAACTGCAATCAGACAAAGTTCAGGATTGGCTGTCATTGCATCGGACCTACCATAAAAACCAAAAAAATAATTGAGTGCCTTAATTTAACAGTGTTGGTGACTGATGGAAACGCAGCCCTGAGGGACACGCCATGCGCGGGTCTTTGCTAAACCAATTCTTCGGCTGAGAGCCGGAAGTCTGTCCTAACGCTCGGGCCGGACATCAGCAGCAGCAACGTGTGCATGAGCTCAGCTCGGAAACCCAAACTCAGATTTTATATCAGGAAAACTCACAATTTAGGTTTTTTTCGGGGAGTTGGGGTGGGGGGAGCTGGGACGGGTGTATTAACAGCAACAAATTTCATTTGAGAGGACTCAAAAACTAATCAGACTTGCGAGTTAGCGCATTAAACTGTGAAGTTCTTGCTCAGAAAGGCCTTTGTCTTCACCGAAAAGGATAAAATAGTTGTAGAAGTCCGTGAACATGCTAACCTGTGTCTCCAGAACACCCATATAGTCCCTGGAAGAAAATCCAGCTGAGAAAACAAATCACTAAACTGTGATAAGAAAATAATAAACAAACACGTAAATCCTGCAGAAGAAAAAATAAAGGAAGTATTTACACTTACTTTGGAGAAAAATACTGAAACATGCTTGCTTTTTAACTGACATAAATTCACTAGAGGACAACACAATTCTTTTTTCTAACCATCTTAGGGAACAATACGTTGCAATAATTGATATAAATGCCATCACTGTAATAAACGTTAGAGACTTTTTTAAAATAAAAGTTGTTGGTCATCTTCTTGTTTGCTGTAAACTTCACTCTGTCACATGAGTCGGTTCACAGATTGCATTTGTCTCACAACCAGGAAGAAAAGCAAAAGGAACAAAGTGTTTAGGTTCAATCATCAGTCTAGTGTAGACTCAAAAGAGACTATGGGTCACTCATGTTAACAGTATTATTTATAATCTTGTTCTGTGTACAAAATTGTGGTTTTTTTACCCACCAAAAAGAATAAAACAACAGATGTTCTTACAATATCTACAGAGCTTAAAAGTTTTTTTCTTATCATTATAAAAGTTATTTGAGAAATTATAAGACTATATGAGAGATCATAAAAGTGGTGGGCCATAGTGGAAAATGTAGCTAGCCCTCATTATTTTTTGCATACTAAGCTAACCTCTTCAGATCTCTGACTCATTAGCAGATTAAATTGTCAAAGATGGAGTCTTTGAGTTGGGGAATTAATCATTGTCCTAACAACAACATACCTTGTAATTGTATGTTGAAATTTTACTTGACTGTATTTTGCTGCATACAATTATATGTCTTGAGCTTCTTCCCTTATTCCTATTGTTCCATTTAAATCATTTGAAGGCACTAATAATAGTTTGGCGTAGAGAGAAAACGAAGAATTAGTCTCTGTTTTCAACTGGAAATTGTAAAGAAAATTATACTCATGTTTATTTATAAAAATCACTTTATGAATTAAACTAACACAGTTCAAAAAAAGGTTTGGTTCATTTGAAATGATAAATAAGTACTCTAATGCAGATAAAAATCATGTACTTAGAGTATTGGCAGAAAGCACAAGTTAGGATGATTTCAGAAGTCTGACCTTGAAGGATGAGTTGAGTTTTAATAGGAGGAGAAGGTGTTAGGAGCCATATGGGTAAGTAGTGGTCCAAAGCCATGCACATCAATGGCTCACTTAAGGAATGAATGCCGCTAGATGGGTTAGTGAGAACACAAGGTGTGATATCATGGAAGATAAAGTTGGAAAAGGAGAAGGCTTAATTTCCTTCCATTAACTCTCAAGATCCCATTCCCCATTCAATCTCTGTGCTGCAGTAAGAGCAGTCTTAAACAGTGTAAATCACACACACATACGCACACACACAATCTTAAACAGTGTAAATCACACACACATACACACACACACAGGTCCCTCAGGAAAAATTCCAAGCTCTTGAGAAGAGCAAATGAGCCCCTTCATGACCTGGCCCTTGCTTGTTTCTTTCAGAACGTCTCTCACTTCTCTCCAGCTACTCTCGTCAGGAAATGAACCTCCAAAGCAGCACATGGAGCACTGCATAGACTATTTACTCAGTACATAACTCCTTCCTGTCTCCTCTTTACCTGACTAACTTGTACTCATCCTTCAATACTCAAGTTGAATTTTACTTGCCATGAAAAGATTTCCATGGCTATTCACCACCCCCTGCCTGTGAGATTGAGTTAGGCACCCTTCTTAATGTTTACCCCCATCATGGCACTTATCATATTGCGTTGTAATTGCCTGTGTACTTGTCTGTATAACTACTAGACTGTAAGCTCCTTGAGGGCAGGGACTGTGTCTATCTTGTTCACAGTTGTATCCCCAGCACCCAGCACAGTGCCTGGCATATTGTAGGTGCTTAATAAATATTTGTTGAATGAATGAGTGAATTGAATTGAATTAATTTAATTAAGTGAAAACAGAAAAACAGCATCTTTTCCTATTAATCTCCAGAGTATATTTTAAGTACATATGGTCACCAAGTTAATGATCATTTGACTCATGATTATTCAAGTTTACAATAATGTAAAAAGGTGATATGCACTCCATACAGTGCACAATGTTACATGAGATATTCAGTACTTAGTAATAAAATATGCTTTGTGTTAGATGACTTTGAGGCTGATATAAGTGTTCTAAACACATATTATCTATGCTAGGCTAACCTACTATGTTCAACAAGTTAGATGTATTTAATGCATCTTCAACTTACACTATTTCAACTGAAGATGGGTTTATTGGGATATAACTCCTTTGTAAGTTGAGGAGCATATGTATACAGTGAGACAAAAGAGGGCTGCAGGTTGGCTGATTTCATAGTGTTGTCTATGTCACTGGAAAGCATGGCTTAAAAAAAAGATGATCTGATAAATTTTTTAATCAGGTAAGACTATGCTCTTTGTAATTGTATATAGCTGTGGAATCATTTGTTTGGGTGGATAAACTGTTGGAAAAAAAAAAAAAAAAACTACCCCAGAACAGGGTTTTGGTGTGGTTTTTAGCCATATTTCTAAAGGTATTTTTCATTTAAGCCCGAGAGTGGATTTGTGATATGAAGTTAAAGAGTTATATTTCTTATAGTAAAGAATAATTTTGGGCCGGGCGCGGTGGCTCACACCTGTAATCCCAGCACTTTGGGAGGCCGAGGCGGGTGGATCACGAGGTCAAGAGATCGAGACCATCCTAGTCAACATGGTGAAACCCCGTCTCTACTAAAAATACAAAAAATTAGCTTGGCATGGTGGCGCGTGACTGTAATCCCAGCTACTCAGGAGGCTGAGGTAGGAGAATTGCCTGAACCCAGGAGGTGGAGGTTGTGGTGAGTCGCAATCACGCCATTGCACTCCAGCCTGGGTAACAAGAGCGAAACTCCGTCTCAAAAAAAAAGAAAAATTTTGGCAAAAACAAAATTTTAAGTTTGACATCAGTGAAAAGGGCTATCTCTTTGGATTCCAGTCTGGTGACATGTTAAAAAACTGAGAAATATGATTTTAAAACATTTAAATTTGAGTTAAACATAAACTTAACTTTTAACTTAAAACATTTGGTCTCACAAAGTGAAGAACCCAGTTACCAAACAAGATCACCATATATTGATCCTGAACATATTGGCTAAAGCCAACTTTGAGGCTAGATCAGCTAGTTAAATGCATTCAATGAGCATGTTAGAAAGATCTAAAGAGCCTTCAGGAGAACCACTTTGCCACACTCAATTCAATCACTATTCAAATTGCTCTTGCAGACTATTAACTCATTCCATTTCCCTAAGGAATAGCACAGAGTAGTTGTTCAATATATTTTTGTCAATTCATAAACAGAACTTTTCATATTAAGTTAGTATCAGTGGAAAAAATATTCAGGTAATTTTCCTAGAAAATAAAATATCCCAATTTACAACACTAGTGAAGTAGTGATAGGAATAAGAACAAAATGAAAAGTGACGTCCAGGAAAGTTTATGAAAAAACAGACTAAAATTTGCAGATTCATCTGCCTTATACTTATTAAAATGATGCTGCCTGAAAAATGTACCTTTTCATATACATTCATAAAAGGATTTTAGTTTCAGATAGTTCATCTGGCTAGAGCACTTAACTTATATAAAACCAAATGCAAATATAGTAATTGATGTTTTTATATATTTTCTAAGCAGCTAATACCAGTAGTCTTTTCAAAGGATAACTTTTCTTTTTCAAGAAAATATTTTGATAAATTATAAAGAGCAAGAGATAAGACTTGGAAATTTTATCTCAAATAGCAACGAAAAAACCCAGTTATTTTTCATGAAATAAGAAAAGCCTGTTTGTTGGTCTGGCTTTGACTTTATTTTCTTTTGAGGCAGGGGTGGGAATAGACAAAGAAATGAGGAAAAGTAAAAGATAAAGGGAAAGAATACATTTAGAATGCAGAAGCCTTGGTAAAAGGCCCATAGGATTCCCCCTGAGTGGTCAAAAGGACTTGGGAGAACAAAAATGTTGGATGTATAATTTCTACACTGATAGATGTGAAATGTTGATGTAATCTTCCTGTGACATGTGTGCCTCCAGTTTAAGTTTTTCTACATGCCACAGACTGGTATTTGTGGTTTTCTTGTAGGAGGCAATCAAGGAGAAACTTCTAAGTCTCATGTTTTGGTGGATGTTAGGCCATAAATAACACTAATAATATGTCTCCTATCCACAGAGATATGCAGAATTCTAGAGTGGGATTTTCCTTCCATGCAGCAAAGAACAAAGGTTCATTTGATTTTTTCTGGATCTGAAGAAAATGGTAAGTTAAGCAACACTTCATTGCATAAATACCTGTTTTTTAGTCACCTATACTGACTGGAAAGTGTCATGAACAACAAAGTAAACAAAATGCTTTTCCATTTTTAAAACTTTTTGATTCTTATAATAACACAGTTTAAAATACAAACACATTATACATCTATACAAAAATATTTTCTTTCTTTATATTCTTACGCTATCAGCTTTTTCCATTTTAAAAATTTTTACTTTTTAAAACTTTTTGTTAAAAACTAAGACACAAACACACACATTAGTCTAGGCCTACACAGAGCCAGGACCATCAATATCACTGTCTTCTACCACATCTTGTCCCACTGGAAGGTCTTCAGGGGCAGTAACACACATGGAGCTCTCCTATCCTAGGATAACAATGCCTTTTTCTGGAATCCCTTCTGATGGGCCTGCCTAAGACTGTTTTACAGTTAAGTTTTTTTGTATAAGTAGGAGTAGATTCTAAAATAATGATTAAAAAGTATAGTATAGTAAATGAACCAGTAACACAGCCGTTTATTATCAAGTTTTATGTCCTCTACAAAATTGTATGTCCTAGACTTTCATACAACTGGCAGTGCAGTTGTTTACACCAGCATCACAACACACATGTGAGTAATTTGTTGTGCTATGACACTAAAATATGATGTCACTAGGGGATAGAAATGATTAGTTTCATCATAATCTTATAGCATCACCATGGTATTTTTGCATGGTACTGGAGATAATGCTAAAATGTCCCTAATGCTGTGCATGACTGTATTGGTTTGGTGTGTGAGAGTTAGATAAAGGAAGTGGTTGAGGCATATAGACACGGGATTGGTTGGTTTGCATATGAAAGGCCTGCTTGGCTGAGTCCTTTGCTATTTCTAAGAATTGGCCAGGTCTGGAAAAAGCAGTCTCTCTTCAGTCAGAAAGGTGAAAAATACCACAGAGAGTTAAGAATACAGAAAAGAATTTGCAAATATTTTCTCCCATTCTGTAGGTTGTCTGTTTACTCTGTGGATAGTATAGTTACTTTTGCTGTGCAGGAGCTCTTCAGTTTAGTCAGGTCCATTTTCAATTTTTTTTTTTTTTTTTTATTTTTTTCAAGAGGCCTAGTCATAAATTCTTTGTCTAGGACAGTGACTAGAAGAGTTTTTCTTAGGTTTTCTTCTAGAATTTTTAAGTTTTTAATCCATTTTGAGTTAATTTTTGTATATGGTGAGAGGTAGGGGTCCAGTTTTATTCTTCTGCATATGTTTAGCCAGTTTTCCCAGGAACAGTTATAAAATAAAAGGTATTCTCTCCCCATTGTTTATTTTTGTTGACTTTGTTGAAAGTAAGTTGATTGTAGGCATGTGGCTTTATTTCTGTATTTATTATTCTGTTCTATTTGTCTATGTGTCTATTTTTGTCCCAATAGCATCCTGTTTTGGTTACTATAGTCTTATAGTATAATTTGAAGTCAGGTGATGTGATCTCTCCAGTTTTGTTCTTTTTGCTTAGGATTGCTTTTGCTATTCAGGCTCTTTTTTGGTTCCATAGGAATTTTAGAATAGTATTTTTCTAATTCTGTGAAAAATGACATTGGTAATTTGATAGGAATTGTATTTGAACCTATAGATTGCTTTAAGCAGTGTGGCCATTCTAATGATATTGATTCCTCCTATCCATGAGTTTTTCTATTTGCTTGTGTCATTTACAATTTCATCAGTGTTTTGTGATTATTCTCGTAAAAGAACTTTGACATCCTTCATTAAATGTATTCCTAAGCATTTTATTTTTGTGTGTGGCTATTATAAATGGGATTGTGTTCTTGATTTGGTTCTCAGCTTGAATGTTATTGGTGCATAGAAATGCTCCTGGTTTTTATATGTTGATTTTGTATCCTGGAACTTTACTGAAGTTATTCATCAGGTCTAAGAGTCTTTAGAAGGAGTCTTCAGGGTTTTCTAGGTGTAGAAACATGTGATTAGTAAAAAGAGATAATTTGATTTCCTTTTCTCCTTTTTGAATGCCTTTTATTCTTTCTCTTGCCTGATTGCTCTAAGACTTTCAGTGTATGTCGAATAGGAGTGGTAACAGTGGACATCCTTGTCTTGCTCTCATTCTTAGAAGAAATGTTTCCAACGTTTGCCCATTCAGTATAATGCTGGTTGTGGGTTTGTCATAGGTGGCTGTTATTATTTTGAGGAATGTTCCTTCATCATGAAGAGATCTTGGGTTTCATCAAATGCTTTTTCTGCATTTATTGAGATAATCATAGGGTTTTTGTTTTTAATTCTGTTTATGTGATGGATCACATTTATTGATTTGTGTATGTTGAACCATCCTTGCATGCCAGAAATATGTTCACTATTTGGGTGATGGGTTTAATAAAAGCCAAACCTCAGCATTACACAATATATCCATGTAATAACCCTGCACATGTACTTCCTGAAACCAAATTTTTTTTAAAAGAATACAGAAAATAAGAAAATATATAGTTAATATTATTGACCCTGACAAATGGTTGCCAAATAGACAAATATTGAATCTAAGAAAACAGAACTTGGAGAACTTCATAAAATGAAAAAGTCAGAATTATTTAATAGTTCCAATATTAACTGAGGTTGACCCAG